ACTGTCTAACTCTGCCTTTCAAAAAAAAAAGAAAGAGCCGGCGCCGCGGCTCACTAGGCTAATCCTCTGCCTAGCGGCGCCGGCACACCGGGTTCTAGTCCCGGTCGGGGCGCCGGATTCTGTCCCGGTTGCCCCTCTTCCAGGCCAGCCCTCTGCTGTGGCCAGGGAGTGCAGTGGAGGATGGCCCAGGTGCTTGGGCCCTGCACCCCATGGGAGGCCAGGAAAAGCACCTGGCTCCTGGCTCCTGCCATCGGATCAGCGCGGTGCGCCGGCCGCAGCGCGCCGGCCGCGGCGGCCATTGGAGGGTGAACCAACGGCAAAGGAAGACCTTTCTCTCTGTCTCTCACTCTCACTGTCCACTCTGCCTGTCAAAAAAAAAAAAAAAAAAAAAAAAAAAAAAAAGAAAGAAAGAGAGAAAGAAAGAAAGAAATGACACGGGAGACTATATGAATTGATCAAAACAGAGAGACATGAGATAAGAGAAATGTGAAGCAATCTAAAAGATAGGCAAAAAGGGAAGGGTGTAGGTAGACAGAAGTTAGTGTTTACATCAGTATCAAAAAATTTTGTATGGGATGATGAAAAAGTTTAGTATGGGATGAAAAGCTCTGTCCACTTGAAGATGGACAGGGGTACCAGTTGCGTAGCAGTGTGGATGTACTTAATGTCACTGAGCTGTATATTTTTAAATGTTGAAAATGGGAATTTTATATTATATAAATTTTTACAATTAAAGTAAAAAGATGGGAAAAGATAGGAAAACCTTCAAAGAACACAGAAGACTGCAGGGAGGGTTAAAAAAGATAATGCACTAACATAAAAAATAAAACTTCACAACAAGTGGTAGTTTACTGCAACAGGGAGCTAGGTGTGATGGAGTAGAAACTGTTAACGCTACTTGGACAAAACTTAAGTTCTAAAAAAGGTTTACCTTATAAAAAACTTTTTTAAAAAAAATATCCTTGGGATTAGGATTTAGGATTACAAAGACCAAATCTGTGCATATCACTTTAAAGTGTAAACATTGTTAAATAGATCTGGCACTTGATTATACCTTGTTTTGGTTCAAGAATAACTGCCTAGGGGCCAGCATTGTGACACTGCATCCCCTGTGGCGCCATTTCAATTCCCGGCTACTTCACTTTTGAACCAGCTCCCTGCTAATATGCCTGGGAAAGCAGCAGAAGATGGTCCAAGACCTTGGGTCCCTGACACCCACATGGGAGACCCAGAAGAAGCTCCTGGCTCCCAGCTTCGGAGTGGCCCAACTCTGGCCTTTTGGGCATTTGGGGAATGAACCAGAAGATGGAAGATCTCTCTCTCTGTCGATATGTCTCCCTGTGTATTTTTTTTTTTTTTTTTTTTTTGACAGGCAGAGTGGACAGTGAGAGAGAGAAAGAGAGAAAGAGAGAGAAAGGTCTTCCTTTGCCGTTGGTTCACCCTCCAATGGCCGCCGCGGCTGGCGCGCTGCAGCCGGCACACCGCACTGATCCGATGGCAGGAGCCAGGAGCCAGGTGCTTTTCCTGGTCTCCCATGGGGTGCAGGGCCCAAGCACCTGGGCCATCCTCCACTGCACTCCCTGGCCACAGCAGAGGGCTGGCCTGGAAGAGGGGCAACAGGGACAGAATCTGGCGCCCCGACCGGGACTAGAACCCGGTGTGCCGGCGCCGCTAGGCGGAGGATTAGCCTAGTGAGCCGCGGCGCCGGCTTGTCTCCCTGTGTATTAACACTGCCTTTCAAATCAATCAATCAATCTTTAAAAAAAAAAAGTGGGGGGAGGGCCGGCACTGTGGCACAGCAGGTTAAAGCCCCAACCTGCAGTACTGGCATTGAGCCTTGCTGCTCTACTTTCGATCCAGCTCCCTGTTGATATACCTGGCTCAGGTCCTTGGGCCCCTGCACCCACATGGGAGACTGGAAGAAGCTCCTGGCTTCTGGCTTCAGATTGGCTCAGCTCTGGTTGTTGTGGCCATTTGTGGAGTAAACCAGCAGATGGAAGACCTCTCTCTGTCTCTACCTCTCTAACTCTGCCTTTCAACTACATAAAAAATAGATCTTTAAAAAAAAAAAAAAAAAGAGTAGCTACCTCATTTACATACCTCTACAATCTTTAATACCCTTGTTATAGTGGAACAACAAGTCACTCACTCAAAATTGGTGTTTTTGAGGTACAATAACTTTACTTTTCTCTTTGAAGTCCAAGTTGCTAGTTACCAATGGCTAATAGTTCCTATTCCTTAGGACACTTTACACCATGGGTTGGTGAATTATAGCCTGCACTCCAAATACAGGTCACCATCTCATTTTGCAAAGTTTTATAACAACATAGCCATGGCCATTCATTTATGTAGTATATATGGTTTCTTGTACTGCTATAAGGGCAAAGTTAAATAATCTCAACCAAGACCTTACTGCCCACAAAGAATAAACTGTTTGCTACCTGGCTCTTTTTACAGAAAGACTTTGCCAACCTGCTTCATATGTTTATTATCTTACTCCTCCTATGAGAATATAAACTCCAGGAAGGAAGACATTTTTGATCTGTTATATTCACTGTTATATTCTCAGAGTTAAGAAAAACGGCTAGATTCTCAACATTCACTGCTGAATGATAAAGATCCTAAATGAATTATAAATCATATTTATATTATTCCCGAGATTCTCAGAGTGCAAGAAAATTGTTTCTAGGATTTTTCTTAATATTTATTTATTTAATTGAAAGGCAGAGTTACAGAGAGGCAGACACACAGAGAGAAAGGTCTTTCTCCTACTGGTTCACTCCCTAGATGGCTGCAATGGCCGGAGCTGTGCCAATCCGAAGCCAGGAGCCAGGAGCTTCTTCCAGGTCTCCCACGTGGGTGCAAGGGTCCTTGGACTTGGGCCATCTTCTACTGCTATCCCAGGCCATAGCAGAGAGCTGGGTTGGAAGTGGAGCAGCCGGGATCCAAACCGGCACCCATATGGGATGCTGGCACTACAGACGGGGGCTTTAGCCTTCTGCGCCACAGTGTTGGCCCCACTAGGAATATTCTTAATAAATGTCGTAATGTCATCTTGCTGAAACTGGTTAGAAAATTTCCAGGTATTTCAAGTAGTCTACTAGCTTGTCTATACTTAACTTAAATCAAGACCCAAAGTATAATTCTAAAGACAAATTATTATACATATAAAACATTTTGAAAATTACATAAAGTCTACTGCTTCTTCAAAAGGACATACTAACACAGAAGTATGATTTTAGTGCAAAACAGACTCAGATCAGCTACTCTGTATTTTATAAGTTATTTGCATATAACTACTATTACTCCTTATAAAAAACTTTGCTGTAGTATATGCAGTGTAACTGTTTCATCTCCCCTCTGACTCATCTGATCATTTTCGGTTTAACCAACAGGCACATATTTCTATAATAAAGTTAAAAGCAGCAATTTTAAGTACATAACTGCCAAATAAGCACATAAAACAAAACCCTAGGATTACCACTCATGCAGCAATTTTTTTACCTGAGTACTTCAGAAAACAGTTAATTCTTCAAAGAGACTGAGAGAAAAACCAAGAAAATGCCAGTAATATTTTCCCTACATTCAACCCACACTAGTATGCTACATGGAATGTCATAAATAGCCACAGACACATTTTGTCAGCATGGTGAATACTAATAAACAAAAGAGCATAAAAGCAATTGAAATCTGAAATGTTAAGTTAGAAAAAAACCTAACAAGGAAAGGAAACAAATATTGAGTACCTACTCTGAGTCAGAAAACATGCTAGGCTCTTTCATAACATTTTTTTTCCCCCTTAAGATCTATTTATTTGAAAGTCAGAGTTACAGAGAAGGATAGACAGAGGCAGAGAGAGAAGTCTTCCATCTACCGGCTCACTCCCCAAAAGGCTTCAACAGCTGGAGCTGGGCCATCTAAGCCAGGGGCCAGGAACTTCCTCTGGGTCTCCTATGTGCACGCAGAGGTCCAAGGAATTGGGCCATCTTTCACTGCTTTCCCAGGCCATAGCAGAGAGCTGGACTGGAAGTGGAGCAGCCAGGTCTAGAACTGGTGACCATATAGGATGCCAGCACTGCAGGCTGTGGCCCTACTCACTAGGCCACAGCACCAGCCCCTCATAACATATTATTATTTACTGCTTAAAATAACTTTTCAAGGTGAATAATTCTTTCAAGATTTATTTATTGGGCAGGAGGGAGGGTAAGGTGGGAAGTATCACTATGTTCCTAAATCTGTATACATGAAATATATGAAAGTTGTATACCTTAAATAAAATTTTAAAAATAAGTTAAAAAGCAGCTTTATTTATTTATTTCAAAGTCAGAGTTACAGAGAGAGAGGGGAGAGAAAGAAAGATCTTCCATCTACTGGTTCACTTCCAAAGATGGCCACAATGGCTGGGGCTGTACCAGGCTGATGGAGCCAGGAGTTTCTCCCAGGTTTCCCACATGCGAAGCAGGGGCCCAAGTACTTGGGCCATCTTCCAGTGCTTTTTCCATGCACATTAGCAGGGAGCTGGATCATAAGTAGAGCAGTTAGGACACAAACTGGCCATATGGAATGCTGGTATTTCAGGCAGCAGCTTTATCCACTGTGCCACCATGTCAGTCCCTTGAGGTGTATACCATCTTATGAGAAAACTGAATTCATAGAAGTTGAATACTAGGAAGAATTTTTGATTTCTACTTGTATCTTTTTACTATATCAGAGTTTCCCAAAGTGCAGTATGTGAGATGATTTTAGACAATACCAAAAATTTTTATTTTTAATAGTTATTTGTTTTAACATGTATTAGAAAAAACTTATCACAAAAAACTCATTATTTCAGGGAGTAAATAACATGGCAAAAACTCTCTCATGATGCTATGCACAATGAAATTTTTAAAAATGCTACCAAATAAGGAACTTCTTTTTTTTTTAAATGTACCACTCAATATTTGTGTCTTTTTGATGAAAGAAAGCAAGAGATAAATTTCCAAGTAAAATCACAGACATACCTGACATAGTTTGATCAAGTTTGTGGATAAGAGACTTTTTAGCACATTCAACATCAGGACTTGGGTAATCCAAAACTTGCCTGCACCACACTAATGGACTAACCGATTTCTGCATTGGTGTAAGTTTTTTCTTTGGTGATGAATAAAGCCTAGAAGAAAACAAACCAAAAGGGTAACATTCATTATTAAGCACAAGGTTGTATCAGAGATCCTTTGGGACTGATTGTGGGGGAGAGCAGTAAAAGTGATGGTGCTTGTTTAAAATCACCCGTATCTATTTAGTGCATAGGAAAAAAATATTATAATCATCACTATAAACTCAAATTTGAAGTACTAAAGCAATATAAAAGGACACATTTTAAAATGTGTCTTATTTTTCTCTTTTACTCTCTAAACTAAACCTAGAGAAAGCATTCATCTTTCCAGTAGTTTATTCTGTTTTCTATAGTGTTTAGCTAAATCTCTAATATATCCATATCACTGAATCTAGCCTAGGAAGCAGAAGGAAGAGTTTAAATATCTCGCTTTTCAGCTTCCATTTTCCTTCCCACTACAAACTCAGACAAAAATGGAACATTAGTGATACACTCCTTTTAGTTAAGCAGTACCCACTCTGTGCTCTTCTGTTCAAACAGTACATCTAAGAAAAGCATTGCTTAAATCCTTAATAATCTAATGTAAATCAACTTATGAAACTACTTCAATTTCAGACAAGAAGAGGGCAGTATTTTATAAGTTCTTAGGGAAGGCATGCAGAAGGAAAAGATGAGCAGTAAGTGACAAGAGGTGTACTTAAATTTCCTGCTTCACAGTTTGTCCTCGTATTGGTCTAGAGTATGTTGGTTGTTAATTTATTTGAAGTGTGACCATGTATAAAAAATGTGAATAGTTACTTGATTTTATAGAGAGCTTCTTTTCAAATTAAGATATTTTAAGTAGAATTTATGAAGTAATCCAAATTATGCTTTGATATATCTACATAGTTAGATGCCCCAAGAAGGAAAAAAGTTAGTAATTCCACATTTTATATTAATCAAGCTAAGAAAATATTAAATGCTGGCCGGCGCCGCGGCTCAATAGGCTAATCCTCCACCTAGCAGCGCCGGCACACCGGGTTCTAGTCCCGGTCGGGGCGCCGGATTCTGTCCCGGTTGCCCCTCTTCCAGGCCAGCTCTCTGTTGTGGCCTGGGAAGGCAGTGGAGGATGGCCCAAGTGCTTGGGTCCTGTACCCCATGGGAGACCAGGAGAAAAGCACCTGAATTCTGCCTTTGGGTCAGCGCGGTGCGCTGGCCACAGCATGCCAGCCGTGGCGGCCATTGGAGGGTGAACCAACGGCAAAAGGAAGACCTTTCTCTCTGTCTCTCTCACTATCCACTCTGCCTGTCCAAAAAAAAAAAAAATAAGCTGTTTCGGTATAACTATTTAAATAAATAATTCTCAATAGTACAAGCAGTGAAAATATGGACCTTTTCCATCGCTTTTCTTTTCTCTCATCACATTAGTTTTGATCAAAATAATCAAAACTAATAAGGTAAATGACCAAAGAAGTCCACAATCCATATTTGTTTGGACAAAAACATTTTTGAAACAGAACTGCAATTTATAAGGCCACTTATTAACAATTTAAAATGAAATTCAACGGGTTCACTCTCTTTACAATTTAAATACTGCGAATATAGCATAACAAATCTTTACCTCAGCATCCCTGCTTTGGAAATTCCTCTATCACTGGTTATAAAACTCATGTTAAAAAGTGCAAGGAACATGGGATGCCTCAAAAACATCATGCTCAATGAAAGAAGGCAGACACAAAAGAACACATGCTGACATATTGTTAGATTCCATTCACAGGAAATGTGCAGAAAATACCATGGAGCAGGGAATAAGTAGTGGTTGCCTAGGGCCTGGGAGTAGGCACGTGAATGAGGTTCCTTTTTATGGTGATATAAATGTTCTAGAATTAAATGGTAATGATGATTTGCTTTTATAGTATAAATATGCTAAATTCAATGAACTATCAATGAATTTTGTGGTAGTGTAAATTACACAGGTATGGGTAAATTTTACAGGATGAAAACTGCATTTTGATAAAATTGTCTTTAGAAAAGTTGCCAGTACTTATAACATCTTTTAAAATACAGGGACTACTGCCGGCGCCGCGGCTCACTAGGCTAATCCTCTGCCTAGCGGCGCCGGCACACCAGGTTCTAGTCCCGCTTGGGGCGCCGGATTCTGTCCCGGTTGCCCCTCTTCCAGGCCAGCTCTCTGCTGTGGCCAGGGAGTGCAGTGGAGGATGGCCCAGGTGCTTGGGTCCTGCACCCCATGGGAGACCAGGAAAAGCACCTGGCTCCTGGCTCCTGCCATCGGATCAGCGTGGTGCGCCGGCGCGCAGCGCGCCTGCCGCGGTGGCCATTGGAGGGTGAACCAACGGCAAAAGGAAGACCTTTCTCTCTGTCTCTCTCACTGTCCACTCTGCCTGTAAAAAAAAAAAAAAAAAACAACCAGGGACTACTATAAACTAAATGAATAAAGTATTAAAAATTCAAAATCAATGAAATGAAAACAATATCCTTCCACTCACCATGAACTCCCCATAAGTATTTTTTCTGTTTTTGCTAATGGTACCATAATTCTTTCAGTTACAAAAACAAAACACTTAAAAGTGATTGTGGATTATTCTTTTTTATTTCTTACCTTTACCAATAATGTCACCAAGTCCTATCTTTATAAATTATTTCTCCCCATTCCAACTTATTTACTCTCAAAGTGGAAACAAAGAACGTTCTTTCCTCCAATTAGCAGACAAAGGCTAATGAAGTAACTTGCCCATTCCCACAGTGATGAAGGCGAATGACTCAATAATCCCTGGGTACACTGACTGTCACTGTTACTCTATTCTCTTATTTGAGTATCCCTGTCACCACTCCAAAAGTCTGAAAATAGAGGGCTTTGGTCCTTATAATATTGGTGCAAAATTACTGCTTGGTCAGAGAATGTGGTTGAGTTTTGAAACAATTCTAACCCTACTAAAAACCCATCTAAACAGTATTCTGAATCTCTCACAATAATGCCCAAATGTTCAGGATGTAATTGGAAATTACTCAGCAGATTGAAAACACAGTTAAGAACATAGAACAGAAACAAGTAAGTCAGATGGAAAACAAACATGACAGAAACAAAACTAATCATGCCAATAATTTTATTAAATGTGCACGGACTAAACACCCTACTCAAAAGGCAGAGACAGTCAGACTTAATTTGAAAACATAATCCCATGATATTTTTTCTAAAAAAGAAACACCTTAGGTTTAAAAAAATCACAAATGGGTTGAAAGTAAAAAGAATGGGAGAAAATAAAAGTGCTACAATGGTTATACTGTTATTAAACAAAACAGACAATAAAAAATATTACGAGAAAAAGAGCACTTCAATACATCAAAAAAACACAGAAAATTAGGATATAGAAGACCTGAACAACATTAACAATTAACTTTACTTAACCAACATTTATGGAACACTCCAACAGTTACAGAATATATTTTAAGAACACATGGGGCCGGCGCAGCGGCTCACTAGGCTAATCCTCCGACTGCGGCGCCGGTATCCTGGGTTCTAGTCTCGGTTGGGGCGCCGGATTCTGTTCTGGTTGCCCCTCTTCCAGTTCAAATCTCTGCTGTGGCCCTGGAGTGCAGTGGAGGATGGCCCAAGTCCTTGGGCCCTGCACCCTATGGGAGACCAGAAGTACCTGGCTCCTGCCATCGGAGCAGCGCGGTATGCCGGCCACAGTGTGCTGGCCGCGGCGGCCATTGGAGGGTGAACCAATGGCGAAGGAAGACCTTTCTGTCTCTCTCTCTCACTGTCCACTCTGCCTGTCAAAACAAAACAAAACAAAACAAAAACAAAAACAAAAACACATGGAACATTCTCCAAGACAGACCATGAAACAAGTCTTTTTTTTTTTTTTTTAACAGGCAGAGTTAGACAGTGAGAGAGACAGAGAGAAAGGTTTTCCTTTTTTCATTGGTTCACCCCCCAAGTGGCCACTACGGCCAGTGCGTTGCGGCCCGCACGCTGCGCCGATCCTAAGCCAGGAGCCAGGTGCTTCCTCCTGGTCTCCCATGCGGATGCAGGGCCCAAGGACCTGGGCCATCCTCCACTGCACTCCAGGGCCACAGCAAAGATTTGAACTGGAAGAGGGGCAACCAGAACAGAATCCGGCGCCCCAACCGAGACTAGAACCCAGGATACCGGCGCCGCAGTCGGAGGATTAGCCTAGTGAGCCGCGGCGCCAGCCCAAAACAAGTCTTAGAGATGTAAGACAACTGACGTTCTTCAAAGTATGATCTCCAACTACAATGTAATATATCAGAATCAACAACAGAAAGAAATCTAGTAAGCCCCAAATATCTGGAAATTAAACAATATATTTGTAAGTGCTTATAGGTCAAAGAAGATATCACAAGGGAAATTAGAAAATTCTTTAACTGAATAAAAACAAAAAACACAACATCCCACTTTCTGATGAACCTAAACAAGTGCTTAAATACTTATATTGGCAAATACAAGAGATCTCTAATACCCAAACCTTTAAAAACTAGAAAAAGTAAATTAAACTCAGAACAGTGAAATGGAAAGAAACAATAAACCTTAGGGTAGAAATCAGTTTAACAGAAAATGAACAAAAAAAATTTTCAGAAAGAAATTAAAACATAGTTGACTTGGTTGATATCTTTAGTTAGAATGACCTAGAAAAAAGACAGCAAACACAAATTACAAAAGTCAGAAATAAGAGAGGAGATTGTGAAAACACTACAAAAATGAAAGGATTTCTAAGGGAATACCATAAACACCTTATGTCAACCAAATAGATATTTTAGATAAAACAGACATATTCCTACAAAGACACTAAATTCCTACAAATTACTAAGAAATACAGAATATGAACTCATAAAAAAGAAATAAAATAAAAAATCTTCCCAGGAAGGCACAGATATTTTCATTTATTGATTATAATATTAAGGAAAAAATGTACAATCCTACACAAACTCTTTCAAAAAATACAGCTAATGGTTAAAGACTGAATGCTTTCTCCCAAGATTGGAAATAAAGTAAGGTTGTGTATTAGCATCACTTCTTTTAAACAATCAAC